AAATAGTGGACCTGCAACATAAATAAACTTCCTCGGGACGGTAGGGGCCATTTGGAGTCTTTGAATCATACGTCGAACAATTGACTCAGGCTCTAGCGGTCGCATTCCTAAGCTCCTTGCACGGCTCCTGGTTAATGGTGCTTCGATTTCTCGGTTAGCTACAGAACCAGTTGTTGATGAAGTAGAGTTGTGAGATTTCTTGCTGATGTAGATCGATAGTGAAGAGATGAGAGGCAGAGTGGTCCAACTGGGCGTGCCAAAATCTGTAAACACAAAAAAAAGTAATCTTTGTATATATTCACAAAATCTGTGTACAGCGTGTGTATAATTCAATGTGCAGGTACAAAATCTCCGTGTAGTCCTCTGATTCTTCCCTAATGCTATCTATTGAAGTGCCTCCGGGATTCAAATAGCATAGCCTCCGGGATTCAAATAGCATAGCCTCCGGGATTCAAATGGCGCGTGCCTTCGGGATTCAAATGGTGTAGCTTCCGGGATTCAAACGGCGTGATCTTCAACAGCAAACGTCAAATTTTGAAGCAATGAACTCTGCAAAACATCAAATTAAAGTGCCTGCAATGGCTTCAAGTTGCCTTCAAAGGGCTTCAACATCTTCAAAGTACCTACAAAATGGCTTTAAGTTGCTTCAAGATCTTTAAAACCTGCAAAAAAAAAAAAAAAAAAAAAAAAAAAAAAAAACGCCCTCAATGCCTTTAATTCTTCAAGATCTTCAAATGCCTTCGAAATAGCTCTCAAATCTTCAAACCTTCAAGTTTTTCGACTGCTCTCAACTCCTCCAGTCTTCAATTGTTCTTCAATGCCTTCAAGCCTTCAAGTTGTCAAGCGTTCTTCAATGCCTTCAAGCTCTCAAGTCTTCAAGTTGTTTTCAATGTATTTAAGGTGTGATTTAAAGAATGAAATTGATGCTCTATTTATAGTGAAGTTTGTAACTAAAATCCCTCAACAAACTCCACTAATATTTATTTAATTAAATTAATTAATTATCCACTAAAATGAACCTTGCCAAAATCAAGCCTAAGTTCATTATTCTATCATCTAATTCAAATTCAAATTAAATTATAATTATCTAATTCAAATATAATAAAATCATATTATATTTAAATTATAATTATAAGTATAATTCAATTATGAAATGGGCTTGGACCAATTAAGTAATTAATTCAATAGCCCAAAACAAATTTACTTGGACTAATTAAATTAATTTAATTATCATAGCGCAATTAATTAAATTGGACTAATGATCAACCCCGAAATTGGGCTCGGAAATGACTTAATCGGTCCACTTGCCGGCTTCAAATTTTATGTGTCTACAATCTTAATCACTTAGAAGTTAAAACCCAAATAGAATTAGTCTACCTTTATTAAAATCCCTGACGATATATACTACTAGAATTATTATCAATATCAAATTGGATTAAGAAATTATTGGACTGACAAATCTTATTAATAAAATTAATTTAATTTACAAAAACAACAACAAAATTAAACAATATTAATAAAGCTAAATATAATAATAATAAATAAAATTAGATATAAAATTAATTACTTTTGCAATTAACTATAAAAATATTATTTAAAAATAGCACTAAAAATAATGTTTATCAGCTTATCAAACGGGTAAACCAAAATTAGTTCCAAAGAACGTTCAAGACTCACATTAGCCCAACGAATCACAAAGTTGGACCCTTAGCACGATTCAAGACACCAAATCCTACATGGATTCTTAACACACCGTTCTAGACACACGAAACGTCAAGAAGACTCACAAAGAGCCCAATAAATCAACAACGGGATGTCAAAACATCAATACCGGGAAGAAAAAATCAAGGGGAACAAATCCCCGCACAACGCCAACAATGTACCCCACGGGTGGGCCTCCACCTGTGGTTACGCCCGCAGGTACACACCCGAGGCAGCCACGTTCCCCACGTTGCCGGAACTACTACCTCGCCGGAGACGGAGGAGAAACGCCGCTGCCGAGCTCCGTCGCCACCGTCGGACGAAGACTGGTTCGCCGGTGAGAACTGCTACCTTCGATCGTCGAGGAACCGCTACGCTGCACTGCCGGAACCCTCCAAGCTCACCGAAGAAGAAGCTGTTGCCGACGGTTCACAACCCACCACCACCTTCTTGCCACTCCATCAACCGTCGCCGTAACCTCCCCTCTGTTCTACTTGCTGACGACGACCGTCGAACCCACTGCCGGACTTCACCGCCGCTACTCTATGCCGCTTCACAACCCGCCGTTGACCATCACGGAGGAAAGAGGAATGACAAAGATGGCTGCTAGGCCTGCTTGGTCCAAGGAGGAGTTAAGAGAGACGAAAGGGGCGTTCAGCTGCTAATGCAAGAAGAAGGGAAAGGCTGCGGATGGAATATGCATATTCATATAGATATACCTACATATACACTATTTACTTAGTAGGGTTACTACATTTAGAAGATGGGCTAGGCTAGACTTGGGTTGGATTTAGGTTCAAGACCACAATTTGGGTTGGGTAACTCTTTTTTGACCAAGGGTCATACAAAATATATAAATATATTTTGGGCTTAAGGCATTTGGGTAATAAAATACTAGTTCATTCTAAATAGACCCGAGCCCATTTCAAAATAAATAACTATATAAATATTTTTAATAAAAATATTTAATATCGAGACTATATTTTATTTTAGAAAAATATGGGATGTCACATTAAAAATGTACATGATATTCATGGTCCACACAATAATTTGCCGTCATAGTCGTGGTCACAGCGTGAGGACCACTGTGACCTCTGGAACCTGTGAGCTATGATGAAAACTCATGGTAGAACTCACAGCGTGAGATAGACCGTGACCACGTACACAGAAAGTTAAGATTTGTTCATTTTGGTGCGAATTTGATACTATAAATATGCCTAGACGCTTGCTTTTTTAGGGAACTTTTGATTTTCCACTCTCTCTCCGAGGTTTTTCCAGAGAGAAAATCTCCCCAAAAATTTCTCCATTATAATCAATCTACATTAGATGACCAATTGACGAACATTTCTACCTTCAGATTTCTAGGTGTGTAGTCACGATCTACCTCATGTCGTGAGTTCCACTATGAATTTTCAACATAGCTCGCAGATTCTAGAAGTCATGATGACACTCACACCATGACCCCCAAAGTGACTATCTACTCTACGCAACTATTCTTGAGATTTCCAGTTGCAACTAACCTTGAATTAATGTGTGTCGTTTAACACCAATTAATAAAACTAAACTAACATGTAGACAAGGCAAGTTCAGGTCAATCCTACAGGGAGTTATGAGTTAACTACTATTTCTTAGGTAAAGTTTCACTAAATATATTGATTATTTTAATTAAAACTTAAATAAAAAATGTTATAATTTAAATTCAAGAATAAACCAACAGGAAAACTAGTATCAAGAATTAATAATACAAATGAAACATTCCAACCCCAAGTATTAACTCTAATTGATTTCCTCAAAAAAAAAAAAAAAAAAAAAAAAAAAAAAAAACTAATTGATTTGATTTGATCATTGACACAAAACATATATATTCGTCATATATAATAGTTGGCGTAGGTTAACTGCAAATGTACATTAATTGCTAATTCTGTTGAGATTAACATGAACAAGAAACAATAATAATGGCAGAAAGGGTAAAGAAAGTAAGATTTACGTGGTTCGGCAATGTGCCTACGTCCACAGGAGTGAAACAATACTCTTATTGATAGTGATGGTGATAGTGGTGGCACAACCCCTTAAGAATACAACCAATATATTTATAGGCATCAAATCCCTGTACTATGGGCCTATCTGTTTCACTCCTACTCTTAATATGAGACGAACTCATATTCCTAATCCATGAGACAAACTCAAAAAATTCACCTAATTTCTAATCCATATATGAGACAAACTCAACAAATTCACCTAAATTACTTAAGAGTGACAAACGCCGCCAATTAAATCTAATTGATAGCCTAAGTAGGCAACCATATAACAAATGCCTAGGATTCAAGGCTCAATTACATTAATTAAGATTTTTGAATACTTTGCCGACACAAATACCATTAATTCAATTTGTATCTATATCTTCCTAGATTGTTCCCCCTAGTTGCCAGTCAAATGAAATCATAGTCAAACGAGCAAGAAATTAAATCGTAATATAGCAGTGAATAACAAGAATAATTAAAGAGTATGCATCCAAATTAATCATACTCATAAATTTAATAGAAAAATATACCACAAAAATATAGAATACTATAACGAATAAATGTAGAATACTATAACAAATATTGATATGACAATTATATTTTACCTACTTTACCATCTATTTCAGAGTAAAAGAAAAAAGATTTAACTCAAGGAAAATGTGGTTTCATCAATTTCCTTTTGACAAAATAATTGAAAAGGGAAGGATATGATGGTATGTGAAAATCAAATGTACACAACTAACACTAATTGTGGAATGGGAAAAGGAATTTCCTCTTTAATTTACTCTCTTCTTAATATAATCAGTCTTCTTTTTTTTTTTGGTGAACTCTCCACACCCTCTTCAATGCTTATCCCATGCATGATTGGTGGTATTATTTTTTAAGTGTGGTAAAATCTTAGATGATGACGTGGGTTGCCACTTGGCATTGCTAGCTAGCACAACATGATGCAAGATGAATATCTATTCCCTTTGCAGGAAATATTATAACTTTCAGTTATAGATTTTGATTTATTTTATTTTTTAGTTTTGGATTTAAAAATTTAATCTATTTTTAGTCCACAATTTTCTTAAATGCACGACTACACGAGGGCGGGGTTTGCTGAAATGTTCATAAAATGATGAAATTCTAATTTGCCTATTTAGGATTGGGGTGCAGAGCTGATTCCTAATTCTTCTTCTTCATCATTGTCGTCATGTCTGTAGAGCTTCATTTGCAGGCTGATGTTACATATTTAATACACTTTTAATGCTATTGTTCTAGCTGGGACGATGAGAATGTGAACAATTAAAAATTTGTATGTATATTCAACGAATATTACAACCAAGAACGTACAAGAAGTATAAACATAATGCATGCATGTAGACTACCACAAGAACTCTAACAGCCACCATATTATAAGGTGTACGTGCAAGTGGCCTGGAACACAAATTCGATCTAGTTGTCTTCTAAGCTGAGTCTTCATCCTGTCTATAATATATATAACTGGTTGGGCCATGACAACAGGAAAAAGTGACAAATTTATGCATGTTGTGGTTACATTGAGGGCAGGACATAATTTCTGGGATTTTGTCCAAATTAGATGAGTAATTGAGAGCACAATAACAGTGTTGATTGAAAGAAGAAGAAGAAGAACTGTTAAGCATCTCATAGTAACTCTTGAATGTATGCTCAAAACCATTGACACGTGCATTGTGCTCCCATTTCTCGTACTCATTCAAGACTCCTAACATTTTATCTCCCAGGTCACATGCAATTATTGTTTCCCCTTTGCCTAACAAAGCCCATGCTCCAGTTGTCGTACCTTCATCTACATATGCTGATAATTTTTTGAGTCCTTTCAAAATTTCATCACTCCTTTCATCAAGTCCAGCATTACTTAAATATTGAATCCTAGATGAGGCCATGCTATAAAGTCGTGCCCTAAAGAACTTCAATGAATAATGACAAAATACAAAATGACACTCTCTCATCACCTCTTCAATCATTTTTCTTCTTCCAACATATGCAATTTTTATATTCATTTGAAATTTGGAACCAACTTCTTGTACCTTAAGCGTAAGTTCTTGAACTTGTTTAATGTTATTGCCTCCGCATAAACAAATGTAATTTTCAGCATCAATCTGTTTAAAGACAAATACATGGATCAATTTTTTTTGTATTAATGTTTAATAGAAAGTTCATTTAAACAAAATACATACATACATATATATATATATATATATATATATATATATATATTGAATAGAGCAATAATTAATTGCCACTAATTAATTAGAATTGAAAATGATGATTCATTACTTACCCACTCGTTTAGCCTCTGTTTGAATGCCAGGAGTCAGTCTTTCCTACTACAAGCTTAAGATTCCAAGATTCTTTATCCCATAGCGCTTCTTCTCTCTCACGCGTGCAATTATAGGAACGAAACTGATGAATAAAAATATTATTGTGAGTATAAACTTTTTAGTGATTTTTTATTTTTAAATCAATAAAGGTAGACATGTACATATATAATACTAGTAAGTGTTTAATTATATTATAAGATAGACATACCGAATTTTTTGTCTTCACATTAATGTCGTCCACCCAATCATTGATCTTTTTGCGGACCTCGTCCGCAAAATCATGTATTTGCTTGTCAATATCACCAATCGCACGGTCAGCACCAGAAATCCTTTCCCTCAACTCATTTTCTAAGGAAGGAACCACATCACCTAATCTCAGTACTCCCATTTCAGATAGTTGATTTCCCCACATAAATATCATGTGCAATGCATTACAATGGACCAATCTTCCTCGTTTGTCTAATGAAATGGCAATAGGATCACTCCCAACTTGAAAAGTTGGGAAGCACTTGTCTTTAAGAAATCTCACAAATTCTGGTGCAATCCATTTTTGTGGATCCAATACAAGATAGCAGCGAAAGGGATCATTAGGTATTTGTATATGCTCCTCTCCATCATTTATAATTGGAACCCAAATCTTCCATACTCCTATATCTGCTTGATATGCATAATAGGGGTAGTGTTTGCCGGATGATATTAGCAATAGCACTTCCTCCCCTTCAAACTGATCTAATCCCATTGAATGCCGTAAATATGTCTAATATAAAACATATTTGGAGGTCATCAAATGAGATACGGTGTAGTATTTCACACACACATATATGATAAGTAAGAACAAACACTTATACATACCCGCTCCCCACAGCTAATTGGTTTCTCTTCATTATTCTTAACTTTGAATATTAATTTAAGAACCTCCAAAATATTTGAAGAGTTCCCAAAAGCATATAACAACGCTTGATACTTTTCTTCCGCTCTTTTTGCCTCTACATACACAAAACTATAATTAATCCTATTGCTAAACTATAATTTTTGGTAAAATCTATTTAAACCAAGTACTGTAATTTTAGATTTAATTAATTATTCAAATTAGAAAAATTGAGGATTATTTGTTCGCATAACAAAGATTAACATTTAAAGTCAATTTATTATAGCTTTATATGTCTTCTAAAAAAATAATAGCTTTATATGAACTAGAAATTATACATTAATTATAATCATTAAGCATTTCGTAACTAAATATTAAAATAAAATATTAAACCAACCTAGTAGTGGGAGGCTGGAAGCCAGAATCTCTTTGATTTTGGTGGATACATTGGAAAGTTCCGTAATTATCTGATTTTGTGGCCTGAAGAAGAAGAGCATGGCTAATTTATTTATTTATTTATTTTGGAATAAAAGAACTAATTCATTAATCATAGGGCGAAAAGTTACAATAAAATCGATGAAATGATAAAATATTCTTACAATAAGATATTAAAACAAATTTCCAATACTACACTATACTTATTTACAAATTCTTAATTAAACCCAATTTACACTCGTTTTTGTGCACTGTAAATTAATTCTTTGAAATATTTTTCTACTATATATTGCCTATGTTTGGCAAATATAGTTGAAAAGGTAACTGAAAGCTGAAAAATAGCTGAGAGGGTTTCAAAATAAGCCTTTATCTTAAGCTACTAATTTATTTTGAGAACATTACCAAACAAAACTTATAGCTCATTAGTAGTTTAAAATAAGCTATAAGTTCTCATAAATAAGCTCTGCCAAATAGAACCATTGTATTAATGATTTATAGGTATTTAGACGAGATATTACAACTAATTATTTATAATGATAATTGAAAAATTAGATTAAGGTAGAATATATGTAATTTAATTGAGTAAATACCAATTTAAGTCTCACAAGTATTAGCAAAATGACAATATTAGTCCACATGTTTAATTCCTACCGATTTTCATCCATGACTATTATTTTAGTACCAATTTTCATCCACGATTATTGTTTTAGTACCAAAATTCATCACGTCTGTCACTCCTCTGTTTAAGACATGTCGAAATCTAAAATTTTTAAGAATATTTTCATCCTTTTTCAACTTAAGATCTCAATTTGAGTATGAATAAATGATTTAAGCCCTAAGATCGATCCTAATTCATAGTTCTCCTACCTTAATTTGAGGAGGAGAAATGCGAATTGAAATTGATTTTAAGGTTTAAATCCCATTATTCATGCTCAAATTGGGATCTTAATTTGAAAAGGACGAAAATACCCTTAATAATTTCATATTTCAGCATGTCTTAAATAAAAGGGTGACCGGCGTGATGAATTTTGGTACTAAAATAATAGTTGTGGATGAAAATTGTTACTAAAATAATAATTGTGGATTAAAATGGGTAGGAATTAAACATGTGGACCAAAACTGTCATTTTGCTAATACTCATGGGACAAAAATTGGTATTTACTCTAATTTATTTTATACAAAGTTAAATCAAGTGGTCTTACTTGATGCCCAAAATAAGGAGGTGAGCGTAGGCAACAACACTTCTTGCGATCCAGTAGTTCGCCAAAAACATTGATGATGAATGTCGAAGCTCAACCATAAGCTTGGTGAGATTAAACATGGATCTTATTGAGTCATTAAAAAAAAATTCATTGTGAAGGGATAGCATTGAGTTTAGACTATTTCTTAGAGCAACCATGTTATAGGATAGTCCTTTCCGATGACATGATTGTGAGGCAATTATAGATTTTCCTCCGATGATCGCAAAACATGCGAGTAACATTACTCCCTTAGCATGCCACATATACTTTGACAACAAACTTAGTAGATAAATCGCACTTGAGTGACTATCATCATAGCTTACACAAGTGAAGGCTACCTAAAAATGAGAATCAAATTTAAAAGAAAAAAAGTCATCATTTGTACTCATAAAATTGTGTGATGAATATAATGGAGGATTTATATATACCATACCACGGAAGAGAGTCGTAAAACAACAAATGAAATCTCTTTCTGGATGTGTTCTTGTAACTGTAACCTGTCTTGCATTGCTTCTCGAGGAACCTAAACTCATACTCCATTAACACAAAGCTAGTGTAATGAAAACAAGAATGGAACTATTTCTAAGCAGGTATAGTAAAAACATATAAGAAATCTCTCTTTGGTCTATGATTATTTGATGAAATTTTACTTGGTGACATTGATAATAACAGTATGGATTTGTATTATATATATGCGCTCCATTTAGGTGATTGTACGATAAACTTCATTCACTATAGGTGCATATATATACAATGGTAACTAAATTTATATATTTGCCAAGAAAATAATTTTAAATATAATTTAATGCAAGTAAATTGACAAACCGTATTTAAATTGAAAATGTCCTCTACAAACTTGAGAAGACAATCTGCATCAACATCTATGCCACCATTAGAATTATGTGTATCCTTAACTTGTTCTATGATGATCTTCTCCTCAACATCAATCATTTGTAGTTGTGAAATAATTGTTCTTGATAGAGAAAAGGGTTGGTTTGCCATGTCTCGTAGGTAAGATAAGAAGAGAAGAATTGGCTCTTTGAAAAGGAAATAATAATTAAGATTTACTTGCAGCGGTTCTGGTCATGACACTGAAGCTCTTATATAACATAGGAATTAAAAACTTTGTAGAAGAATTAATTGACTTTGCTTCAAATCACCGCAAGGAAAAGAACTAACTGAGGAATATAATCACACTTTATGCTCATTTCTGGATTATGTGAGAAGCATTTCTTCTTGCTTCCAAAACACAAAAGTAAAATAGAATAACAAGAATGTTAAGGATTTTTTTTTTCTTTTTAAATTTCCTGTCGCTTTCCCTGCCCTTATTTTTTCTACTACATATTCTTCAATTCAGAAATAAAAAAACAAACTCATGATCATAATTATATATATACAAGTTTATTTTGTCTAGACTACCAATTTAATAGCTAAGTTTTTTTTGAGGCATGAACAACAAAAAAGAAGAAAAGAGCAATGGTAGAAATATTGTTGGTCCCGATAGAATGAGATGAGAGTCTAGAGGGAGGGGGGGGGGGGGTGAATAGACTCTTTTCGTTAGAAGCCCTAAACGTCACCTTTCGGTGTCTTGCCGCAGCGGATAAGATAGATTAGTTTTAGATACTTTGCACGAGTTTGCGTAATTTAGACAAATCTTCGGTAACGATAATAAAGGGATGATATGAGAGCAAAAAGAAGGGCGTAAGTAAAGAGATAGAGAGGACACGAGATTTTATAGTGGTTCAGCCAATGTTGCCTACTCCACTCTTCTTCCACAATTGTTGGAAGGATTGCACTATCACTCTTAGTACAAATACACAAAGACTTCCTTGATCACTAAGCCGGACAGCCTTCGTAGGTTTTTCAACTCCTCGAGTTTACTCCGCCTCTATCAACTTCTTCTCCTGAGTTGAGATTGGTAGAAAATGATTTCTTGAATTTTTCAACGATGAGGTCTTGACTCTGAGATATGATTGCTTCAAACAATTGCCAAGACTTCCTTGAGGTGTAAGACAAAAGATTCTTCAAGTAACTTAACACCTCAAAACTGGTTCACAAAAGCTTTTAGTAAATTGTAGACTTTTCAAGAGCTTTTGTAAGTAAGTTGAGTGATAATGAACCAGCTCCTTCTTAGTTGATGAAGGTGAGTTTATATAGGTGGTGAAAATCCATCCGTTGGAGGGAGATGAAATTTTCGAACCTTTTAACCAGTGGACAAGGACCGGGGAGCTTCATGCATTAAATGCTCCATTAATGAGGTTGTACCATGTAGCCGTTGTAGGTATGGGAAGCATTGGGGTTTTGTCCTTTAGCTCCAAGAGATGGTACATCTTCATTTAATGCTTCTTGAAAAGTGTGTCCCATAAGATGAAGTCCTTATTGTCTTAGGATGTTGTCAAATCAGACAGGTGAATCATTCTTGTCGTTGTTGAGGAGAAGTAATGCTTGATAAAGATCGTCTTTCACCAACATTGTCCTTTCGTGCTTGTTGACAACTCCTGCTTGATTCTCGTTGCAATTCTTCATGTCTCGTGTCTTCTTTCGCCTTGGAGACCCTAACATCTAGTTATAACTCATTTTCGTGTGTTTGTCTAGCTTAACACGAATTACAGAGGAGTTATGGCAACTTTCGTCTAGGACGAAAGCAGCGATTAAAAACGCTAATGGTTAGGGGTTTACTTTTCTACATTACATTGGTATCATCAAAATCCTAATACAATGTTCCTAACAATTTCCCCCTTTTTGATGATGCCAAAACCTATACTCTTCTTATAAGGATTTCTAAAAGCTTTGATTTCTGTTGTTCAGCTTCCTTGAGTTCTTGGTCATTCCTTTCCTTTTGTTGCTTTAGCATCCTATTGAAGTCAATTTTCTCATTGATTTTTGCTCTGAAAACTTTAATAGGATTAGTCCTGACAAGCTCTTCATGTTCTCCTTTGATGTTCAGACCAGTGTAATTGTTGTAGGCTTCCCGAATGTTGCTTCCTTCAACAATACCATACTTCCACCACGAGATCAATTCAAACGAATTCATGCCTTCTTGGTAGCTCTTTCCTGATTCCTTGTGCACTTTGAAAGCTGCATTATGCATGACATTTTGTTGGGAGTCTTTGGTTACATTAGAGAGGTCTTCAATGAGGTTCCTGATCCTTTCTCTTTCCATTGCTTCATCTTCTCTTCTCTTTCTTTCTTCATCGTGCTTCCTCCACAGTTCTTTGTTTGCTCTTTTGATTCTCTCATTTTGAGTGCTCATGTGATTTTGTCTTGTATAATTGTCTTTTGTTTTCAACCAAATGGGATTATTGCAACCCTCGAATCGTTTGCCACTGCCTTCTTCATATGGGACAAAGTCCACAAAGTTTCCTATGCCATCCATAGTTACTTTGTTGTCTCTCATAAGTTTCTGCCTTAAATTCGTCTGTTCTCTCTTTGACAGCCCTGTGAAGATGTATTTGGCTTCAGAACCAAATGATTGTCTCGGCTTGATTTGTTTGGAGGATTGGTATCGACCATGATATCTTGACTTTGAGGAGTGGTAACCACGAGATTTGGAAGGTGGATGAGATGGATTCGTGTTCCTTTGGTCATAGTCTCTTGGTGTCCGAGAGGGAGAGTGTCGTGCTTCACGAGCTTGATCTTTCGTGCTATCTCTCGGCTGATCATCATCCTTATCTTTGTCATCATTTCTCTTTTCCCCCTTTTTGGCATCATCAGCACAGGTGGTGGGAGGAATGGAGGAGACCTTGTTGATTGCAAGCAAGATATCCTGAGCATACCCGAGAATTTGAAGTGCATATTCGCCCAGTTGGTACGAATTGTCCTGATATGTGTCAATTTTTGTACAGGCCAAATCCATACGCTCTTTGAGTCCAAAATGAGAGTGTTTGAGTTCGTGCTGTTGTCGCGCAACTTTGTTCAGAGAAGCTTCGAGATCATAAAGTTTCTTTGTCATTCGCTCAAGGAGCTTGTGATCTGATTGGCTTTGTTGCTGCGGTTGAGGCTGTGCTGGAGGTGGAGATCGAGGTTTAGATTGTGCTGCTATCAGAAAATCGACCTTCTTGCATAGATCATCCATAACTTTCGTGTCCTTTTCTCGTAAAGCAAGATATTGCCTATGGATGGTCTCAGCTGAATGAACAGTTCCTCTCATGAGGTTCATGATAGTCCGTGGGGACTCTGCGGGGGATTCTTCCTCAATGTTTGTTGGTGATGTGTCCATGTGATCATCTTGAGGTGGTGCTTCCCGTTTTCCACCACTAGTAGAGCTAAGAAGAATTGGTGAAGCTTCCAATTTGTTTTCACGCATACTTTCGTTTCCGTGCTTGATTGGAGTCTCGTCTATGGGTTGGATATGCGGAACAATAGCGCGAGATAGATCTTCGGGATGAGAAGTTGAAGCTTCTTCCGAGTCTTCACTGTCAGATGGTAGTTTTCTTAAGGGAGATCTTTGAGGGTAGGTGTCATAATCAGGACCGATCAAGATTGTATGACTGTCTTCGGGTTCGATTTCTTGAGCACCTTCATTACCCAACTAATCATCATTGTCATCGTCATCATTATCATCATCATCATTCTCATCATCGGCATCGTCAACATCATCATCATTGTCATCTTCATCTTCATCTTCATTACTCTCGTCTTCTTCAATCTCTTGTCCAAGCTCATCTTTCGTGCCACTGACATTACAATTTGGATCATTTTGGTGTTCCTTCTCTAAGGAGGTCTTGATCTTTGATAGCAACATGGCATATCGAAGTTGCTTCATTTCTTCTTCATAAACTGGATCCAAGGGTGGCTTGTTGAGCTCGATGCAGACTGGAGCGTTATCTCTCCCGAGAGTGCGATTTGTCATTTTGTAAGAGAGAACGCGATTGATTTCTTCAATCCGAAGAGCTTTTGAAACATCCTCAGTGCCAATCCATGCAAGTGCAAAGTCTTCTTCATCCTGCATTGCTTCAAAAGTTTCAAGAAAGGTCCGTAGAGGAGCAGTGCGCCACTTTTGCCACTGCAGAACTCGTGTGTAATCCCTTTCAATGGATTCTCTAAGCAACTGATCTAGTGAACGGCGAGAAACCTTTACTTCAGGAGCTGGAGCTGAAGGTTTTGGTATATTCAGAGAAGCTACTTGCACGACCGGCTGCCTCGTCTACTAACACAGGTTCTTGTGTCAGAATTACCTGCTCTGTATTGGTAGGTTCTTGTGGCAAACAAGGCACAGATATCAGAGCATCAGTCGCCTCTTTCTTCTTTTCTGGTGACTCAGGTTCTTGTGGAAGACTTAAGCGACTGGCCTCCATGTCTACATTAGCAGGTTCTTGTGTCAGCTCTCGAAGGAGTTGATCTGCCAAAGTAGGTTCTTGTGGATGGTGGTCTTGAGTAGAACCGAGAACAGACTTGGGTTCTTGATCATCAGGAATTTTTTCAGGAAGAACATCTTTCGGTTGAGCTTCCCCCTCAGAAAGTGCTTCATTTATGATTATTTCCCCCTGTGGGGATGCACCTTTCGTGTCTTCTTTTTTCGGTGTAGAAGATTCCTTCGGGAAAGATTTCGCCTTGACGGGAGACCGAAAGTGACTCTTTTTGATAACTCTGGAGAGAATCAGATTATCTTCGTCTTCGGATGAGTCTTTGACAACGATTGCTTCTGGTAGAGGAGAGGATGGAATAGGATCTTTCTTCTCTCGTGGAGATTTTGAAGGGATTGGGACAGCTGAAGTTTCTTCTGCCTTTTTCACCTTACTCCGAGAGGAGTGCTTTTCTCGTCTTTGTCGTTTCGGCTTGGGTTGATCATCTTCTGAAACCCTAGGTGTTCTTGATTTCCTCTTGGCTTTGACTTGCTCAATAGGGATTCCCAACTCCAATGCCTTCTGCTTGTCATACCCTGACGATTTTTGTTTCATGTGACATGCTTTCAGTCCAGGCCGAATTCCTGGGCGCAGAATGACTCCTTTCGTTGCCAGAAGATGGCTTATCACAAAACCATATCCTAACTTCTTCGCAATGTCTCCTGGACTTTTTCGATGAAAGGTGATGGTGTGAACAATATTGTTGAATATGATCTTTGACCAATCGACTTTAAAACCATTCAAGAAAGCATGCAGCATTTTCAACTTCTCCTTCGTCACATCATCAGTGCCTGAGGTCTTGTGATCGACAAGTTTATTGAAGATGTCAACAGTGAACTCATAATCCA